TTGAATCATCCTCTAGACAATTTGCTGGTAGTAAGGGTGATTCTCGAATAATTAGGCCTATGAGGATGGCTATGGACTCGTATAATAGCCTCGAAACATTCTTTCAAAATATATGCGTAAACATACAAACATACATGCATATAATAATAAGAAGAATAAGAAGAAAAAACTAATAGTAGTATTATTATTATTAGAAATACAATATAACTTTAGTTTCACCTTGTATATAATAATCTATTTTAATAATGAACTTCCATGTTTTTCTCCTATGATTTTAAAGAATATTTATATGCATTCTGTTGAATCTTGACTCGCCCGTGAATCACGCTTCAAGGAATTGAGTGCAAGAAAGAAGAGAGAGAGAGAGAGAGACGAGTAAACAATAATGTACAATAATTTCATGTCTTATTCATAAAATGATCTCCCTATTTATATAAGCGATAACACAATATGCTGATGTTATATTTTTGTCTTTGTTTTAATAGGGGCTGTAAATGGTATTCTAGGTATTTTGGAGGCAAAAGCCCATCACTCGACTTCTCTCTGACTTAGTTAGATGAACTTGTTTGGCTTCAGCTTGAAAAGGCCAGTCCGATCGGGTAGGCTTAGCCAGCATTGTCGATCAGTTGAACTTGATTTGCTTCAGGTAGGCATGACTGATTTGATTGGCTAGGCTTTGGAGACCAGGTTATACTGTCGGCCCTCTTTTCCTGGCGAGAGCTCATATCGGTAGAGCCACACCAAACTATCAAGTAGAAGGTGAATTACCATGACCCAAAGACAGGTTGCTCCTCAACGTGGATAGCCTGAGGGATGTCTATTAAACTCATTGTTGCGCTGTTAATTCTTGATCATTGATGAGGAGCATTGGAATCGACCAACAAATTGTTGATATTGAGGAATTGGATATTTTCTTGAGTCAGGTGTGTCAAAATGTATACGGCTGCCTTTGATCAACTTTCTAATTGCGATTGACTAGAGGATCCATCTATCTTGTTTTGATCGAACAACTCAGATTCTGTAGCCTTCGTGACTCGGTCGGCTTTGTGCTTGTTTACTTTAGCTCGGATGATTGCATTCGATCATATACATGATCCTTTTGGTCTTCCATCATTAGACCCTTATTTGTCGTACTTTCTTCCTTTTAGACTCTTAGATTTCCTCGGGTTCAATGTCGAGGTTTTTTTGATGTGCACATACCATATAATTCTTATATATTTATAGATCTAAGATCTAATTTTGATATTTCTATATGCATGAAAAGATGTATTTTATTTTAAAAATATTAAAATAAGTAACATTTTTTATATGATTTAGAGGGTTGGATTCTATATAATATAGTAAATATCAATGCTTTTATATCATACATATAAATAGATAAAAATTTTATTATATATAATATGAAAAATTAATAGGAAATATATCCTCAAATCTGATCAAATATAATGGAAAGAAAATTCTCACACGCTTGTTGCCTGAATTCTCTTCGCCGCTTAGATTACCGCTCAAACGCGCAACTTGGCCCGTTGGTCTCGCGGACCCGACGCCATGTTCTCCATCTCTGTCGCTCGAAGTCGTCAGAGCTCGGAAAATCTAGGGTTTTGATTTGGTTAATTTTTATGTGTACTTTTTCGTTTTAGTTCTGCGAAATGACTGTTCATGGTCAGAGACAACACTTTAGAAGCCGTAGAATTTCCCTTTTTTAGGTGGAAGTGGGAGCAGCTTGATGATGAGATGATTGTGGTATCTGGACGGTATTGACACATTTTTTTGAAGAAATCAGTTGCCCGGTCTTGTCCTGCTTCCTTTTTAGAGCTCCTGGGGCATATGTATCTCAGACGGGCATTGAGGAGTTTGTGCTCTACTAGAAGCTTTCATATTCTGAGGCCAGGGGTTTTATTCTTGGAAGCTCGAAATGGACTTCCTTGGAGCCCTGCTTCCGTAGCCCCAAAGGTAAGGCTCTACTCTCGTTTTTGGTTTTGTATGGTCATTGCGGGTGTTAAGATGCCAATGATTGTTGATTTTCTTTTGATTTTTTGGAAAATACTGATTCATGCACTGTACTTATGATGACTAATTACCTTGAAATGGATTAGTAGGTGTTTGGTTGCAGACGAAGTGGTCAAAATTGTTTAAGCCGCTTGCAGCAGATCAAGCATCAGCATGGCAATGCTTCAGCTGAGGTTTGTTCTCTACTTTTTTCTTACCATCTCTTGGTATAATTCATACTGCTTACAGCAATAGGATATCTATTTTTTAAATGTTGAAAACGTTCTTATGTAATTAGGGAGATAGGATGAACTGATTTAAACTGTGTATCTCCTCAAGTTCCATGCATCCTGCTATTTGCAGAGAGCATGTGTGATAATGCTAATTATCACTGGGAAGCTTGGGAATTTGAAGATTGATTAGCTTGGCTGTTTAAGTGAGCTTCTTTTTCTTTTATTTTAGCATGCCTAAATATACAAATGTTACCGAAGGCAAGGGAATATGATAAACAACACGCTAGTAGCTTGGCTCTACCTTGACTCTTGTCCGAGCAATGTGAGGATTTGAAAAATAAATAGCTATATCACTTAATAAACATGGCTAAATTATGCGTACTTTAAAGAGTATAATGTGATTATCATCACATCAAATTTTATTAGGCACAAATAATACGTATTCAAGTTTCATTGCATTTCAAATAGAAAAAAGCCTGCAAAATAAATTATCTTTAAAATATTGTTATATAAAATTATTTTTTTGAAATTACTCTTGTTCATTTCTTTGTCAATGGATTTGTAGTCCTTTATCTATTACTGTTTCATCTTGAACTCATGCTCATCATCTTCAAGACTAATTATAGAACTTGAATAATCGGCATCTTTCTTTGAGCTCCTTCAATTCATAGCATTTGTCCTTGTTTCTCCAACCTTGGCTGCGTTGTTACAAAAACCCATGTCAACTTGTTATCATGTAAACCTACAACATTTGTAACACCTGTATCCTTCTTTCCAATGAAGGCAAGCTGATTGCTATGTTCCCTAGAATCTTAATTGAAGCCTTTATCCTAGCCAATATCTTAGTAATGGAGGTTGCTTAGGAGGTTTACTAGGCATTCTCCTCGGGTGACTGTGATCATCCGAACTTTCCTTGAGACAAAGATGTTTTTGAAATTGGCCTTCATCTAGGTTTTTCTTGCACTTTAATTTTAAAATTAATTATCAGGAATAGTTGATTTAAACACCCAATAGATAAATATGGCCTTGAGAAAAACTATCCATAGATTTGTTAGGTTTGTCATTGCCTCTCAGATCTTTTTGGCTGGGTATGTGCTCTTTAAAGGTCTGAAAACTTCATTGCTCGAGCATTTTTTGTGAGCTATAACAGGACACATGGGGTGAATAATCAACTTTATTTAGGTCTGTAGGCTGTGTTTTGTTTAGTATCTATGATGAATTAAATTTCCAATATGGTCTGGTTGCTTCATGTGGTTACTCTTTTATATTCCCATTGACATTTCAGTTTTCTATGTTCTATATCTTTATGCTTTCGCTGAAATTATCCACGGCCTGTTATGTTGATTGAATTGTGGGAATATACAAGTTTTTTATATTTTTATGCATCTCTGTTACAAGACCTTTTTTTTGTTGTTATGGATGGGCTTGTTATGCTGATTGAATTGTGGGAATATGCAACTTTTTATTTTTTTTATGTATATTTGTTACCAAACCTTTTTTTTTTGCTGTTATGGATGCTTAACTGTTAAATTCGCACCATGAGAAGCTTTCAAGAGAAGTCACTGTCGTGTAAATCTTGACTTATCCAGTTTTGATTTTCTTGGTAAGAATATTTTTGAGGAATGATGTTTGTCAGCAACTGGCTATGATTGATGATTCTCATGTTTTTATATATACTATTTTATGGGTGAGCATTATCCATTTGCCTTGATTGCCGATAACTGTCTATCTTTGCAAATAGGTTGCATAAAATGGTGCTTGCTCCAGTATTAGCTTTATTAGGAGAGTACCTTTGAATTATATTTTTCAGAGGAAATAGCTGATTTCAATCAGCTCAAAAATTTATAAGTTATTCTTTTTTTTTTTTTTTTGCAGGAAGCATCAGATCCGTTTGCCTTGGTTGCTGATGAACTGTCCATCCTTGCAAATAGGTTGCGTAAAATGGTGGTTGCTGAGGTGCACAGTGCTCATGTTTTATCTTGAATCTTATAGTTTATCTTTACTCGATATGTTTAGATTTTAGGCATGCATTATTTTTAATGAACGTAATTCTTTATGCTTTTATCATCTTATTTCTGATTAACTTGCACTAGGTGCCAAAGCTAGCATCAGCTGCAGAATACTTCTTCAAACTGGGTGTTGAAGGAAAAAGATTTCGTCCCACTGTAAGAACCATACCCAATTTTTGTTTGTTTTATAAGACAATATTTTCAACATGAGATGAAAAATATCAAGCTACAGTTGCAAAATGCAATATGTTAACCTCATTCGGATATTAATTTTGTTATTTTTAATTACGTTTTAGCATCTTTATTTTAACTTAAAAAATTTACATCCATTATTAACGCGGCAGAGTCTATGTTTACAGGTCTTATTACTAATGGCATCTGCAATTGACATGCCTGCACATGCCATGGCTGGTCTGTCTACTGATGGAGGCCCTTCTACTATGCCTAGTTCATCAAATGATTTGCGTGCCAGGCAGCAGTGTATTGCAGAAATAACAGAGATGATCCATGTCAGTGATATAGAAAATTGCCTTCTATGATTTTGAATTTTGGTCATTCAATATCTTTATGTTTCTTATTATTTTTACAGAAAATGTAATTTTTGCCATAAAAGGTCACTTTTTGATATCATGTGTGGAACTTTCTTCCTGTTTGTGATCCTAGGGGCATGTCTTTGTATTGAGATGATCCATGTCAATGATTCAAAACATTTCCGTTTATGATTTTGAAAGGCCGTCATTCAATATACTTATGTTTGTTTTTTTTTTTTTATTTTACAGAAAATGTAATTGTCTCCATAAAAGTTAACTTGTGGATGTATTAGTTTTGAACTTTCTTCCCGTTTGTCATCCTAGGTGGCAAGCCTTCTCCATGACGATGTTTTGGATGATGCAGAAACACGGCGTGGTATTCGGTCCCTGAACTCCTTTATGGGTAACAAGGTTATTACTGTACTCCATTAGCTGAGAAGAACCTCTTTGACTTATGCCAACCAAAATAATCAGGATATGATAGTCTATCAATTCTGTTAATGTTACAGATGGATGAAGTTTCATGTTGTTTGTTGAATTGTAATTTCTGTCAATTTATTAATTAGTAACAACCTCTCAAGAATTTATATTATAAATATCTTATGGGTACAATCTATTTGATGATATTGATGCCAGTACTTAACCACATGTAGTTCTCTCATTTACGTGTGGCAGATGGAAAAATCTGTGCTGATCCTTTCTCAACCATGTTTTTTCCTAGAACAATCAAGAAAGAGTTGAGCTTTAAAAATCATGTCCAAGCTTCATTACATCTTTTTTTTTTCTTATGGTTTGAGCCACCTAGTTGATTTATGTGAAGGAGATAGATTTTATTTCATAAAGCTTCACAGGCATAGCATCATAGGAGCATGTTGGGTGAACAAGTAAACATGCATTTAAATTTGACCAAATTTGACGTTTGTTGACTATCCAGCTTGAATGAGATTCAATA